CTTATTACTGCACTTCAAAGATGGCTGCCCCTTCTCAAAAACACAGCATATATTCTTAGCCGTGCTTGGGCAGGAAAGTTTGAAGTCTCACTTCTTATTCAGACCATGCACTAAGAGGTAGGACAGACACAGGTCTCCTTTCTGTGGGGTCGATGCCACTGGGAACAAGTGGTAGTAATCACACCCACCGCATGTCTCTCCCAGCACTGCAATGAGAGTATTGTTCTCTCTCACTTATGGCCTCTGATGCTGTCATTATTCATATTCAGAAAGCAGCGCCACCAGAGGTCAATGCAAAAACAGCCTCCCCCCGTAAATTTCTCCTCTGTCACGCAGCTCACCAGAGGGAGATTGAAGAACAGAAGGATTTGATGTGCTTTGTTCACAACCAAGACCATAAGTTCAGGGGGAAAATGTGACCTATTGGCTTAGTGGAGGTTGATAAGTGGTCGTTACTTCCTCCAGAACAGATAAATTCTTCAGCCTGTGCTGCTTTTGTGGAGGGTGACCTTCAGGAGGAGGGTCTGTTTTGTTTAAAAACACACTAGGCTTCTTTTCCAGCTCTGCTGCTGTTCTGAGTTGGCAATATTTGCATGAACAGAATATTGGGCCCTCTTGGCTCGTCTTTGCTCTTGAGCCAGGCTCAAAGTTTCCATCTGTACGTTATAGAGCTGTATTATAGAGCCTGCTGCCTGGTTTCTCAGGTCTGACTCTCAGGTGGCACCACAAAACTCAGCAAGGCAAACCTCCCTGAATGGATGCTCTAGAGAGCAGGTCATGCACTGCCTATCTGGCGTCATTCTGGAATATGAGCCTGTCTGCTTAGCTTGTGAAGGGCCAGGTTTTCAGTAGGGCTTGAGCACCTCGTAGCTCCCTTTTCATTCTCACACTGAGGGCCTTGGTGGAGTGGTCGTGCTGGGTCTTCTGCGTGCTGAGTTGGTTTGAAGAAACTGGGTTGTGTAAGTCATATAGCACTAGCCATGTAAATAGGGTCTGTCCTGTTGTCAGCCAGTGGCTTTCCCTCGTGCAGTAAACCTCTTGTTGACCCCTCGGATATCCCCAGGACTGTTTAGGGCTATGGAAGTGGTGAAGCAGGGATAGGATTTTGAGAACTGTGCTCCTAAATCCCATGGGTGCCTGGGCACCTAATTCCCTCTGCAAGCAAAGAAAGCTAAAGGCCTGAATACCTTTGAAACGGGGCCTCTGGGTCCTGCCTGTAATGAGGCATATACTGTTTATGCATTTGGTCACAAACCTGGGACATGGAGTGAGGAGAGTGATTGTGCTTAAGGAAAGTGAGAATTTGAGTCAGTTTATGGCACAGGAAAGAACCAGCTTGTAGCATCTCAGAAGGGGCCCCATACCTGGTGCTGGAGGAAGAGAGCCCTGGGGGTAAAGCTCTATCAGTCCTGCAGAATCAGAAGACTCAAATTGCAAAGACTGACGCTTAGATTTGGTTTCTGACTCCTATTTCTCACATACTTTGTGAGTTTGATGGGGAAGAGGCTTTGGGGGGGTCCTTAGAAGGAAAAAGATTACTGGGGATCTACCTGCAGGAGTGGAGTCACGCCCAAACGTTCACCCAGCAAATAGTGGATGGTGGTGTAAATTCCTCATGGCAATAAGGTGTCTTTGGGAAAAAATTGGTGTTATCCATTCATGCCTCCAATTTAAAAAAAAAAAAGTATGAAAATACCATTTTTATATATGTGTTTGTGTATGTGTGTGTGTATATATATGCACATATACATGTTTTAATCCCCTTTATCTTGCTGCTTCTCCCTGACTCGTCCTCCCTTCTACTTCCTTTCTGCCTCTTTTCCTCTCTATTTATCTCTCTCTGTTTTTTTCTGTTGAGCGTGACTGCTTTTAGAGGCAAAACCTACCCGTCCAATTGCATTGAAGGTAATAGGCAGCTTTTCCTGCTCAGAGGCTGAGTTAGGGATTTCAGCATTGTTTTTTATTTATCTTTCTTCCTTTCAAAAAGTTTGGGGAAACTGGACTGGTGCTTGCTTGAAAATCACTGGAGCGGCTTTCATTGGCAGGTGGGCAGGAGCAGTCTGAAAGAGGTCTGAAAGCTTTCAGAGTGGTTTTATGAGGTCAATATTTAGCAAGCCTTTTTCTTTGCCTTTTAAGGAAGGCCTTTGAAAAACACTCAATTCACTCATGGAAATAACTTGGGCTTTTTTTAACCCCCGTGACTGTGGTTATCAAAGCCCAGCGAGACTTAAGAAGCAAAAAGGAAGAACAACTTCTGCACGAACGCCAGGTCTGAGTGGAGCAAACAGTATAAATACAAGGGGCCACTTCTGAACCTAAAAGGAGCGAGAACTAACTCTTCAGGCACAACCTGAAAGTTCATGCAGCCACCTGTTCTCTGTCATAATTTTCCACATCCCTGGACAGTGATGATATGTGGGTTTTAATGGTCCTTATGGCATGGCTCTGGTTGCTGTTTGGAACAAGCATTGAGTGTTAACATGGCTCTTTTCCAGATGAAGTGAACTCCTCTGAATTCTTACGAATGCTCAGGACAGGCACAGAGGGCACACAGAAAGCTTCGTCTTTTTCAAAGGTGGTGAGGTTGAATTTCATTTTGCAGCTCCTGGATTCGAATGAATCAGCAGCTTCAAAGAAGCTCCGCACAGGAGTTACGTCGCATTTTCAGCCAGACACTAGCTAGCTTTGCTAAGGAGCCCTTTCTGAATCGGACTGGGCAACTGTATTACTGTAGTGCTGAGCACAATTGAAAGCTCTCTAGAAGGGTGGGTCATTGCCTTGGTGAAGGACTGAATGGAGAGCTGCTTCACTGGAACATAGCTGCATGGTAGGTGAGGTAGAGATGTGCAACGAAAATCTTGCAGCTGTATTGCCATTGCTTTTTACTCTCTGGGCTGCCACAACCATTACGTTGGCTTAAGAGAGGGTACACTGTGTATTAGTAATACATTTTGTGAGTCTTGTCTGTTGTGTTGCGTACGCTCCTTTGGCTTAGGAACAGGAGCGACTCTACAGACAGTTACAAATTGGTCTGCTGAACTTATTCATCGCTATAATATTAGTTGCTTGACCTTGATGTATCTCCTAATGTCATTTCCATCTACTCCTCACTTCCTATCACTTAGATGTCTCTGTTTAGCCTCTGGTATACCTCTTCTTGTTTGAAACATAAATCCTTCCTTTTCAGTCAGAAGTCAAAGGTATCTTGGTGTCCCATCTTATAAAGTACAGCTTTGACACTGCTGCTAAAGGATACAGTGTAGTAAATTTTCTGCCAAAGACTTGGGGGGGGGGGGGAGATGTATCTTTGTCCTATATCCATCCAGATATCCATCGTCATGGTGCTCCCCGTGTGGGCCTGTACATGCTAGGCAGGCGTTGGAGGAGATTGGCTGGGCTTATGGGGAGGGGGGGGGGGGGGGGGGGTGAGATGTATCTTTGTCCTATATCCATCCAGATATCCATTGTTTAAAAAAAAGGGCAGCATATAAATACTGGATTTACGGACAGTTCATCCACGACACCGACGCTGAAATGGTGTGCCAAAAGTACTGTATGTCATTGAGGATGGTAAACTTGTATCTAGCCCGTTGGAATTCTGCACTGCAGTGCACAGAAGCATGGTGGAGTGAAAAAGAGGTAAGGAGAACTTGGATTGTCAGTTTGTCTCAATGTATATTTGACCACCTTCTTCCTATTAATGCTAATGAGATTTTTGCACGTGTACCACAGACAGTAAGGTCACGTCCTTACGGCTTTAGAGCTGAGGCTGATCTTGGCTTGATCAAGGTACAAGAGACGGCTGAAAGTACATTAAAAGGGATGCAAGACTGGTGATGTACTTAGCCTATCCTCTGTCTCACTATTCTAGGCCTGTGTTACCTCCTGCACCTTCACCACCTCTTTGCTTGTCTCATTCATTCTTAAGAGCATATGGGATATTGAAATTAAAACCAATTTCATCCTACCTTAAGGGAATTTGAAGTGGACTACGTACCCTTTCATGTAAGCAGTTTTAAATGCACTAACCTTGGCAGCATGTCTCTTAGCATAAAGTAAAGCGTTATCAAGAGATCTACAGTCTGCACAATATATACTTAATAATGTCAAAATGCTTAGCAGGGTTCCTGCTCTATCATTTCTATGTGGTAAATTGTCATTTGTTTTTGTGTCTTTTCAAATCATTATGTTTGTGGTTGTGATTTTTTTTTTCTGATGTGATGATGACCAGTATAATCAAGATGTAGCTGTGCCTTGCGAAAGGAAAGTCATAATTGCTGGTCATAATGTCAGTGATGACTACATTAATGGATATAGCAATAAGAATATCTGAATGCCAGTGTCATCACAGAAAAATAAACAGGTGTCCTGGGACAAAGTTAAAACTGCTGAGCTATCTCAGACTGTTATATCTGCCTTAATGGCTTATCCAAAGCAGAATGAAGTAAAAGAATAAACCCACTTGGACTTAAATGGTTTTCAAATCAAGCTGTTAATATCTCTGTTAGATAATGTCAAGGGTTAGAGCTGATTATGATAACAAGGCAAAGTCTGCACTTATGCTTTATATAATATCCTTCCTCTGTGGATTGCTGGGCATGGTATAAGATCAATTCTCACCATCCTACTGGGAAAATTATTATTGTACCCATATTCCCAGTGAGGAATATGCTGGAGCGTGTTGAGAGCTCACTTGAGCTATCCAGGGTCAGATGATGGAGAGGAAGGGTAAGCATGGAATGACAAGGGGTGGTGGATAGCTTGTTCTGACAAAACCTTCTGTATTTTTCCAGTGGAAAGCTTTTCCTTCCTCTTCAGTTCAAGTTTGCCCTTAGCTTGAAGATAGTTTCCGTTACAAATGGAAACGCTATTCGCCAACAGCTGTTTGTCAGCAGTTTCTACAGGGCAGGGTGAGGCCTAAAATATCTTTTCCCATCTATTTTTACTGACCATGGAAAGAAGGGTAGAGAGGGAGTTGTACAGTGTGAGGGGAAAGGTAGAATGTCAGGGCTGGAAAGTATGGGAATGAACATAAGTGCTTGAAATCATTTAATTCTGTTGTGGAAAGGAAGTCTTCTGCCTCTCGTTTGTCTCAGTGATAATTCATGCAAGTCCTCTGGTAAAACACTTCCTGCCTTCCCATACGTGAACATAAAGCATCTGATGCTGCTCTGACGCAAGGTACCTGATGGCTGTTGTAAACTGCATCAGCAGGGTGGAAAAAATGGCAGTAGGCAGGAACAAGCCGTAAAAATATTCAGAGGAAGCAAAGCCATCACCAGTAGTTTATTGTGAACAGAGGTCTTAGGCCAGAGAGACGAACAGCTAACAGCCAAAGGGACAGCCTTGTCCTTCATCTTAGCAAACAAGAACAGCACAGAAGAGTGGTTCGGCTTTAAGAATATGAGTCCTCAAAGATTCGCATAAGCAAGCCACTTACCTAATCCAGGCTTCCTTGGGAGAAAACAGTTACGAAATGACTGGCTACAGCAGCTATATATGGCCTTCCTAATCAGTTTTCTGCTATTATTTAGACAGAAAGAGATTTGCCCTGTTACAGTCTTGCCATAAAGTCCTATTTTACGGTGATGAGGGAAGATACTTTGGACAGGCACTGCAATTTTCAAATACCCGTCTTGACGACTGTTTGCGTATACCTGTAGTATTTGCAAAGAACAGCCTAAAATCAGGCTCCTAAATCCACACTCTGTAACTTTAAATGACCTGATTATCAAACTGCTTCGTGCATAGCATTAGAGCTTTGCCTTGTTGCTCATGCGTTATCTTCACGTGAATCCTAGGAAAGCTGATCATAAGGAGGGAAAGGGAAGTAGCGGAAGAGGGGAATCCAAACAATTAGAATTGCAGATGTGGTTTTTAATGGGATGGTTTCATCATGGTAGGGCAAGAGTCTTTTTAAATTTAAAGCTGCATGTTAGTTTCTATTATAACTAAGTCCAACGTAATTTTCTGATTTTATTACGTAAAGTGTTGGTAACATTGAAAATTAGATTTAAATCAAGAAAAGCTTACTCCAGGGCACTAGATCTTGACTATTACACCAATCCAGAAAAGCACCGAAGCATGTAATTTTATCCCTGCTTGGCAATGTACATAAAGTCATGCTTAATCTTAGGCATGTGAAAAGTCCCATTGGCTGTTAAATCAAGCCTGCTCTACTTGTGCAGAGACTCCAGAAGAATCTAGCACATACGTTCAGTAGTAAATAATATGATGTCAAGTATAGAAAGCAGTGGAGATTACTAGTTTATTCTCTCCTGTTCTTCTTTCGAGTTGTCCAAGAGGCAGATAGTTCTGTACTTAATTTCACTCATGACTTGTCTAGAAGGAGCCCCGGTTTTGGACTAAGACCTCTCCTGTGTACAAGATGCTGTCCAAGTGCCAAACAAGAATACTCCTGCCCCAGGCAGCTTACAGTCCCGTTCTGTTTGATCCTGTAATGTCTGCCATCGTCCTTATCTCCAGGCACCTGAACAGATGAATGAGAGACCGGGGTGCTGAGAGCCCACACAGAGCTTCCTACCTCCCCAGACAAGGTGGGAGGAAGCTCAGGCATCTCACTCAAAGCATTCCCAATTCTTTCTAATGTAGGGAGAGGCCTTTGATACAGATACTGCAGAGAGCTTTACAAGAGCTTTGCAGGGACTCCAGGTGATTCCTTGCAAGCAGCTGTTGGCAAAATTGGAGTATGTTTTGCAGAACTGGGATTTGTTTCTCTAATGTTAAGCCTATTGAAATCAATGAGAGCCTTCCTATTGACTCCTTAGGTGCTTTGTTTAAGGCTTTTGCTGGCCAGATTTGGCCCCAATTGCACAGGGGCCAAAATTATAATCCTATCCTTTCAAAGCACTGCTGCATGAAACCCTATTGGGTGAAATTAATGTTTTTTTGTTATAGTGAGCAATGGTATTCAGCAAATATTGTAGTGAGCAATGATATATTCTCCAAAAAGCAGAATTAAAAAAATAAAGTAGAGCGTGTGTTAATTAATGGACAAGAGAAAGTATCTTTGAGGTCTGTCTTTCCTGCACGTCTGTATTTGTGTTAATGGTATACAGTTTTGTGACAAAAACTGAATTTAAATGCCATGCTTTGTTCTTAGTATTGCTAAAAACCTAAACATGAAGCTGAATTCACATACAGTGTGTTACAAAACTGATTAAAAAAATTAACATGAAATTGCTAAGTACTGCCCAAATTAACACAAATCAGAGTTCATTACATGGCATTAGGAGCCAATTTATTGCAATCATTATGCCTGCTGTTAGAGAGAACCATATGCCAACACCAGAAATAACAAGCATTCTGAATCAGGGTCACTGCAGTCCTATTTGCATATGAAATACATTAATTGATCTCCTGTGCATATTAAAATTAAACCTACACTTTTTTGCTGCTGCATCTTCTCTCAGAAATTTGTTGTGTGGCGGGAAGGATTGGGTGGGGGGAGATACAGTGCTTTATTAAGAGGAATATTTGTTCCAAACTATGGTAAATTCCTAACTAAATAATTGAACTTGGTCTGCTCAACTAATTCAGCTCCTAACTATCTTTTTGGTTTCCCCAGGAGAAAGATATGCCATCATATGAATCAGAGAGGTGAAATACCATGCTCTTACACGTCTTCTTTTTTGTTCTGGCAGTCTTCCAAGTGATATCCTAGGTGGTCTACAGCTGTATGAATTTAAGGGAGAACAGCACAGTGTTTGGAAAAGTTGGCCTTTCCCTAAAGGTTTGCTACATCATGGAAAATGGAAGATTTTTTTCCTTCAGTCCATGGAGAAGAACGGCAGCACCATGCCCTTCAGCTACAACTCCCATGAGGCACTTTTCTGGTAAGTCCAAATTAGCAGCTCAGTAATCAAGGTAAGTATTCTGGTATTTCAGCTTTTCTCAAGAATTTCCGTGTTTTCTATGAACAAATAAAAGGTGAAAAGAAAATGACAATTTCATTCATTTGAGGCAACATCTTACATGGGAGGAAAAATAACCACCCCGCCCCATGCCCTAAGCAATTTTGAAAAATTCTGGACAAAGGCAGTGGAAAGCTTCACCTGAGAAAAAGGAAGAGTTCTTTCTGAGCCGAGGGAAGGTTATGGGAGAGAAGATGAACGTGAAGGAATGTGAGGGAAATATCTTTGAACATTCACTTATTTACAGCAAGTTAGGTTATGGAGCTGATGATGGTATATTTTTCTGAGTGGGAGACTGTGAATGTAATGGAAGAGGAGATGAGAGGTTTTTGAGAAGAGCAGGCAGGTGATCAAATTAGCGAAGTCCAGGATGGGGTTGAGGGGGAATTCTGGCATGTGCCAGGTGAAAAAGTAACTGAGAGAACAAAGGAATGGGAAGGGGACATGTCAAGAGACAGTCAAAGCCAGAGGAGACGATTAAGTAGAACAGAAGAGGAGTAAGGAGGGCAGCTGCCCCATATTGTTTGTCCTGCAGTTGATGTCTGTCATTCAAGCACGAGGAATGTCTTTCCCTGCTTAAGAAGAAAGCTGGCAGGGCCAGTGAAACCTCTGAGATAGTCCTTGCAAGGACTCATGAGCTGTTTGCAGTTGTCCCTGTCAAGTCCTATGGGTTGCTCTAATCCGTACCTTGCTTTGTAGCAAGCAAGTGGAGACCCTTGATTCATACCAGGCAGAGAGATGGTTTCAAAATGCAGAGCAAATATGTTTCTCCTCTCTGCTTCTTTGAGGGCAGATATTGAGGCACACTCTCCCAGCTTTGCAATTGGAATGGGGTTTATAGCATTAGTCCTTGCCCATTGCAAACAAATCCATGTCTTTCTATATATCGTTTACCAAGTGAAAACAGCATTTCTGCTGCTAGTAGCTGACACTCGAGTGGCTGTCCCCTTCAACAACAAAACCAGAAATAAATTAGAAATAAGGAGCTTGAACAAACAGAATCATTATACCAGTATGACCAAAATAGTCCAGGAAAGCCTTAAACTTTTATCAATTAATGTGCAAATGATTGCAGTCCCTAGCAGGGCAAACAGCTGTTGTGCTTACCTAGACAAGAGGCTAACTTCTCTGTAATGATGTGGATTATTAAAATCTTTGGAGATAACGTTATCAGGAGCAGCACACAATGCTACAGTGTTTATTGTCCACCTACTCAGTTCTTGCCAACGCAGAAAACATAAACACCTTGCTCTCCATGCAGGAAGCCAGATAGGCTGAAGCAAGAATTTGAGAGCTGGGTGCTATTAACCTTCAGAAAACATAATACCAGATAAACTTCAGGAATTGAATGAGGAAAATAAGTCTGTGCTTGCAAACATGTTAGTTTGCACTTCTAACTAGGAAATTTAGCTTGTAATCTTCAGGTCTAGTGACTGAACTCAGCACCACACAGGCATCATCTATCCCAATCAGGAAGTGATGTAGAGAGATGGCACAGACGGCATTGTTTTTTCCAGTCTGGGGAGGAGGTGGGGGCTGACTCTGAGAGATTAAGGATTATAGTCAGTAAAGCGTATTGGTGCCACCATGAAGTCCAGAGTGCATTGAGCGTCCGAGCTCCCCGTCCAATGTGTGGGAGAGTTAGGCAGCACTGAGTGAGGCAAGCATATGAGCTTGCATGCTGAGCAGGAGTCAGCGATGGCCAGCCAAAAGGAAGAGCTGCAGGGAACCATGTGGCTGAAGCCCTGGAGCTAGGATGCTGAATAGGCCAGTGATAACCCATAAGATCTGCAGCCTAAAAGGCTTCTTACGGTACCTTTAAAGAGAAATTTTGGTTTTGGATCTGCTTTAGGCTGAGGTGGGAAGTGCTTAGATAGGACAGCTCAGAGGGCGTGGGCAAGAGCTGCTTTTCCAGTGATTTTTGAAGACCAAGAGGGAGATGCTGAGTGCTTTTTGCAACCTGCCATGCAGGACTTATCAGAGAGCACTGGTGCAAATGGGCCCCTCAATTTGGTCTAAATCTTTGTCTGAGTTGCCTCTTTCTTTTTCCTTCCTTTCCCCTGTCTTTATGGGTAGGACTAGAAAGCATCTGTAAGCTTATGTGGTAAGGCATTGATGGTGCTCCCTCCAGTGTCCAGCTGTGTCCTGGGATGTTGGGAGGCAGCATTCCAGTGGGTCATTTCCTCTTCCAGTCAAAGGCAAGGTGAATGACCTCAACGTGTGGATAAGGGAGATCACAATTTACTCTAGTTCTGCTTAGCCTGTGCCGTAATCCTTGATAAATATGTTGTCTACATAAATACTGAGGTGAAATCAAGGCGTATTTCAGACAAATCAGTGTTCATTTCCATGCTGAACTGATAGTCTGAGGCTACTACCATTGGATTACAGGTTCATTTGAGGAAGCAGAGGCTGTCTTAGTTACTGGGGGCAGGGAAGGGCGTATGAAAAGCTAGAAAGCTAGGAAATGTGAGGCAGTCTAACAGCGACTGCCCAGGGCACTGGTGAGATATGGTACTACCCTAGGAGTGTAGAGCAGGGCATTTGGGAAGGGTTGTTCTGGTATACTGAAAGGAGTTACATTAGCTCCGTTAGCAGTTAGCAGTAGACATTGTGACAACGTTTCTTATCCTGCTTAATTTCAAGAGATGAATAATAAAGGTCTTGGAGAGAGACTAATTTTAATATTTATGGAGGAACTGCTTAACCTAGCAGGGGATTTGCTTCTCCTTGCTTTCACCAGCCAGATGAGTGTAATGCTTTACATCCATTTTTATGTTGCTCTTCCCTCCTGGCAGGGTTTCACAGTTTTCTGTCCCTTGCTAGGTATGTGAAATACGGGACTGAGCACTCATCATACTGGTACAAACTCTGTGCCGCTTGTCTTCAGCCCTGGATTTAGGCCAGGGAAGGGCTTCAGAGATCAGGTCCTTCTTCTTATGGATTGTTTTCTTCTACTCAGTTTCAGGCAACAGCAGGTGGATTCTAGCATGAAGAGTTATTTAAAGAAAGTAAAATCCTGTCTTCACTATATGCAGACAGGAGTTTCCCTTTCTTGTTTCCCCCCCACCAAAAAAAGGGCTAGCACTCAGGGTTTGCACTCTTCCTGCCTCAGGGAAAACAGTTTCTCAAAGGTGCTTTCACTGTTCTTTCAGAAGGCCAGAAGACCAGCATAACATAATAGTGACCAGAGATCTAGCCCACTGCCTTCCCTCCAGCAGTGGCCATGAGCAGATGTCATAGAAGAGTAAGGAATGGGGAAGGTTTTTCTTTTCCTTCCCTTAGGAGGCTTGGAAAAGCCCAAGGAAGAGCCTTCTGTTGTCTGTCCCATCTGAGAGCAAAATACAGGTATGCAATCTGAGAGTGATTTTTCAATGACTTCTGCATCTGCTTGACAGTATTTGTGTGTGGAGCATATTTCCTTCACTTGCTTGTGAGAGTGTCACATGGGACAGCATCAAAAGCTGTACGGAAGTCGAAGTAATTCATCTCTACTGCTTTCCTCCCTTACTCACTAGGCCAGTTACCTTGTCAAAGACAACGTTTGCTTTCCATCCATTATACAGGCAAGTAAGCAGCAATACACAGTAAAATATTTTGTTATCCTCTTTATAAACTTAGAATGCATATACAGCTCAGTAGATATGCATCCTACCCCCTATACTCAGCTCCCTGATGTTGGCATGTATGCAGGAATGGGTGTTTTTGATTAAAAAAAAAATATATATATATATATATGAATTGCTCTCTCAGATTTTGTTTGATGTTTTGATTTCTAAATATTTTTGTAGTTACTTTGGCATGTGCAGTAGGCTGTTTTATGATTTCAGCGATTTACTCTACTTATATGGTACTCATCAAATATTTTCTGTGGCAGCACAAAATATCTCGTATAAAATTGCATTGTCTTATCAAATGGCATTAATCTAGGGTTGGGACTTACCCTGAGGTGAGGAATAAATTGAAACCAGCAGTGTTTAACATGGCACATAGTGCAAGACTCTACACCAAATTCATACTAAATCCATCTTTGACGTTATTTATGCTGTTTGGAGCACTGAGCAGCTATGTTTGCTTTTAACTGAGAATCAGTCCCTGCAGTTCAATATTTAATGTTACCTATGATTCTAGAAAGCACAAAAAGAATTATTTCTTTATTCTTTAACCAGAAGAAAGAAAAGATGGAAATCACTTTGGGACACAAATGGATTGCATAGCAATGAGGGAATGAAAAGTGATTCTTTGATTTGTGTAGCTCCTTAGTCTTTATATTTCAGTATAGTAAAATAAGGCTAGGGTTTGATTGATTGTTTAAATGCTTTGAAAAATAACTCACTGAGCAAGACAGCTATTATTTTTTATAGCTTTTTCCACTGCTGGCTATCTGTAGAGAAAGGGTGAAAAAAGTATATAAACCAGTTTGCTACCACTGCACATGTCCTTGGAAGACAATAAAGACATAAATTTGGGGCAGTGCTGCTCATCTGCTAGATGGTTGTACATTGTGTTGGAAGTCCACCAAAGGGAGTGGGAAGGGCAGTTCTGCAACTCTTAACTGTAGTATTGGCCTTCAAAGCAGTCCTGTCCTCTTGTGCAAAAACCCTCAAGCATGGATGGGGGCTGAAGCTGGGGGAGATCAGGGTTCAGAGTCACAAAGACATTCAGCAGGTGTTTACACACCTCTTTCCTCCTAAATGGAAACTGTCCATGTGTCTAAATAACTCTGTGACTCTTGGTCCAACATGGCCAGATCACAAAGGGAGTGGAGAGAACACTGTAGTCAAGGACAAAAACAAATCAATAGTTTCTTGTAATCTCAGACCTTTCTGGATATCCAAGGAAAAGCTTTTTTTTTTTTTTTTTTTTTTTTGGTGGATTGAAGTGCCTTTATTACTTGAGATTAAGGTGCAGATCAC